TAACATGATCTAACTAATATGTGATTTATTAGTTTAAAGTAAATATCTACATAATCATCTCTCTGTTGTATGGATATTCTCTTATAGAACAGTACTATCTATCTTATTTATCATTTTATCTTTATTCATTTGAAATATACAAGAATATTTTACAAAGAAATAAATCGGTATTTTATGTTTACATTATACAATTGTATGATTCTCATTTTAACTAACTAAAGATAAATATTATTAGACAATTGAAAGATCATTCATCATTGTATTATAAAAAAGAAACGACTATACTAATTAAACTAGAAAGATTATTTCAGCGAAGAGTTCGCTTTTCTTTCTTCTCTGAACTAATCTTTCTTATTTAATGTCTTAATGGATGTATTCCGTATAATGATTAAGTCATAGGATGAAAACTTTCCAATGAGATTATTATTTTTTTTTTGGAAACTGTACGATAGTTATATAATATTAGATCTAAGGATCGATGAAATTTAATTCAACTTGAATCCCGTGAGTGGGATCGTGAATGCGCACTACTGAAGTGTTCCACAATAGGCCATCCAATGCTCCTAGGTTTTCCATGGTGGTGAATATAAATAAATAAAAATAGAAAATAAATAAAATATCTTGATTGCGTAATATGTTAAATATTGTCCCTATATAGTACTTTTAAGAATTCCTCAATGACATAATCATTCTTATCAATTTCGGTGATAGTTTTGTGTTTAAATAATTTTCAAGTCAGTCAGCTACAACGTAGAATCAGGCACATATATGCATTGGTCCAAGTTGCCATACCTCATTAACACAAAAAGATGAACCCCGGATTCCTAGAAGTGGTTAATTCAATGGTGGTAATATATAAAAGAAAGATTGTGTATAAGGACATAGTACAGGAAGAAAGAATTAGTTCGTGGAAAGAAAGATATGAAGTGATTTTAATCTCTTAGTTTAAGGGAAGATAGAGAGTGTATACACCAACACCATCATGATCGATTCTAAGCCATGTCACCAAAAGTCTCCAACCATTGGTTACGATAGTCATTTAATAAATTGGTTAAAATTCAAGTTTATTAGAGATTCTTTTTATATTTATACAATGTAAATTATTAATCCTTTATAAAATTCAATCAGAAATCCTTGTATTTTCTTAGAGATCATTAAATGATCTAAATATTGGTATCATGTTTTTTCTAAGCTTGAATAAATTCAGATTATGAATTGAAACAAAAAAAGACGAAACAATGATCTAGTACTTCTAGAATTTTCAGCCAATATTATTCTATAATGATTATTAACTTAAACAGTCCCATAGTTCCAAAATCACAACCCCTATATAATATGATTGTTCTTTTTGTCTTCTGGTAAAAATTATTGATCTTTCCCAGGTTATAAAACATTATATACTACATTATAGATCTTAGTGATGATGATAATGATGATGATAATTATAAGTGAAATGGAACAAAGTTGATTAAATATGTCTGTTTAATTCTGAAGTTATTACACTTAAATAATAAAAAGAGCAATAACAAAAATTGGTGCAGAATAATAGGAATTCATTTTATTTCGTTAGGTTCTCATCAGCTGCTTACAACCTAAAATATTTGAAATTCAAAGTTATTATAGATATTGACATACTTATACAACAGAGGGCGATGAAGGATGAATATATGTAACATAATGTAGCAAAGATTTCGTTAGAGTTAATGAGGTCATAAAAGTTTTCGTTTCGAATATATAGATTTTGGGAGGATAAGGTTCCAGAACATTAAAATAGTGATTAGAAATCATGGAATTAAAACACATTCGATTATTATGTAATGAAATAACTGAAAATAGATTAATGATGTAATTATAAAATTCAGAAAGAGTTGGAATGGCGTAATAAATAAAAAAGGGAGGTAATGTTACCAGGGCAAAGAAAGATTTATTACTGTTTCTTTTTGTATACAAAGATCTGGTTTTAAACGTTTGATTGCTATCGGTTCGGCAAATTTCAAAATGTTTGAATTTGATTGTTTGTTGATCACCTTGAAGAACTTCAGTATATCGACTTCGTGTCCTGTGTCAAGGAGATGTCTTGCGACAGCTCTGTTAAACGCTTTTAGTTCGTTTGATCTCAAACTCTTATTCTGCACCAATCTTTGTTCTTGCTCTTTTTAAAATAATAAAGGGAACTATGTGTAGTAAACTTAAATAATAGTTACATAACTTATTTTAAATCTTTATAATTGTAAAACCTAACATTCATCTTTAAAAATAAATTGGCTAATAGTATTTTAGGTTATTAATAACAAATTACAAAGTATAAACTATAGAGATTTGAATATTTCCTATTCTGATGAATTAAGATGATAATTTTAGTAAGTCAGTATAGAAGTTTATCTGAAGTTTGTGCCGATTATGTCGTTCAGAAGAAAGATGAAAGCTCCACGATCGAACCATTCAGCTCAGAGAACAAAACTCAATCAAAGTCAGTACATTTAGTAACAATTCATCAACCTTTACAATTATGAATAGGGATATTCATTTAGAACATTTGAAGCATTGTGATAATAGAGGAGAATTAGAGAATGATCATACTGATGATAATAATAATAGTTATACAAGTATTCACACAGTTTATAAAAAACCTCACACATGTGTGTAGGGTAGAGGAATAACAAAACGAATGAATCATCAATTAGCTATGTGAATAATGTATTCATTTAGATTGGTAATAATAGTAACGAGAACTGAGTAGTAAGAATACGCATAGAGGTAATGTTCACAATTCCCTAAATCAGCCAAGGCACGAAGGATTCGTTGATCAGTGAAGGCTCTAAGAGGGGAACAGACTGAATATGAGATTTTTGTGCGTTTAATTTATTAGGTGGACAATCAGAAATCTTGAGAGCTTTGTTACCACACTCTATGCAGTGTTAAATGCTGATTTCCCATCAATTTTATATCCGGTATTTGGTAAATGAGACAACATTGGGCTGGAAAGTACTCGATAAAATAACACCCAGCTTAGTAGTTCTTTCTGGCTGTGTATCAGTTTCCACGGGAATAATCATAATTGCATATAGAAATAGTCGGACACTGTAAACATGAAGAATTCATAATTAATTATTTTTAATTCCTTGTTCTATACAGTCCTACAAAAAAAACAATTCATTGTAAGTGTTTGGGAAGAACTTGAACATAATCATTGTCTTCTGTCTAATGTAGCTAAGTATCTTATAGGGAATAAAGTTTATCTTAGACAGACGGCTTTACAGAAATCTGTTTTCTGCAATGTTGTTTTTCACTCATTGAATTACTACTACTCCTACTTGTATGATTTGTGTGCATATTTCTCAAAATATCTAAATTATTCAAGTAGGTCGTTTAAATTTGATGCTAGACAGTTGAATATATGAAACATAAAACCCTACTTGAACTAGGTTTTCTGCTGGTCAACAGTAATCAGCAAGGTGTATTTGTAATCAACGTCCACTAATTCCACATTCTGACAAATTACTACAGATCTATTCCATTTACAACTGAAGCATATACATGAATTGATCACTGAGTAGTAATCAATATCATGTTTATTTAGCTCTTAGTGATGATCGAGTATAATTGAGAAAGTTACAATGAAACAACTAGTCTCAGTGACTCAACATCGTGTGTAGTAATATGTTTTGACGGTAGTCGATAACCGAAATCATACAGAATGGATTATTTCTTATGCTTTAGCCCTATTTTTTATGACAACAATAATAATTTTTTTCCACTTTCCTTTGTTCAAAATGAATTTTCATGAAAATTATGGTATTACTAATACACTCTCTTATGTAATACAAATATTTGAAATGATTAAAATTTTCAAATACATAGTTTTAAGAGTGTTATCACATCGTTATTTTATCAATCTTTCACAGTCACTTACAAGTGGACTGAGTCATGTTGGTAGGTGTAGACTACTTGGTTGGGATCCGTGAGACGATAGCAACCGATGCTTAGAGACCTTGAATGACATGGCTCAAAATTGTTTGCAACAGCGCAAGCGCATCCACTCTTTGTGTTCTCCCAGATTCTAACCTTCTGAATTATCCATGTCCCTCATTTTTTTCTCTTTCCAAATTTATTTCACTGGATTATACTCCTTGAATAACATCTTCAAACTCTAGTCTCTCCAATTACTGCTTATACTTTTACTACGTCTACCACTATGGGATTTCAATGGACAGTTGTATCTGTCTGCTAATGTGATATGGAAACTTGAACTGCTGTACGTATGTACGAAGTTCTACGTTGTTACTGACTGACTGAGTGCTTTCACATAAAAAAGATTATGAAAACTAGGGGGAATATTTTATGAAACACAAATAAGTTTACTCTTAAATTCATAAGTTTCTATGGCAAAAGTACTCTGATTTTAAGATAACAAATATTCATAATAAATTTTGAGAGAAAAAAACTTTAAATGATGTAAAATTATTGAATTTGTTTAAATCTATTTAATTCATTGAGCGGGTAATTTAAGTGGTCTTTGTATATATTGACGGAGCATAACTATTTCAAGATCATTCTCCATGTCCTTTAAGTTCATTATAATAAAAAAAGGTTTATCCAATCGATGCTCAAGATTCTATTAATTCACAAATGTTTACTCTAAATCGAAATCAACTATAAACAAACGATATGACAGAAACATGTATCAGTCCAAATTGTCACATTTGAAATTAGTACAATGTTAGATAATAGGAAAATGTTGAAAGTAAAATATTCGAATATAGTTTAAGATAAACAAGTGAAAAATGATATAATAATAGTAATAATTAAGCAAATTCGAAAATTAAAGATAAATGAGGAAATAGTTGTTTTGACTCCATTTCAAGTTTTAATAAATAAAGTAATAGTGTACAGTAGTAATGTGATCAATAGGAATAAATATAAATTGTCTATTTCTGTGACGTTTCACTTGAAGTTGTTCAACAGACAGTCAGTCAGTCAGCTACAACGTAGGACCAGGCACATATATGCATTGGTCCAAGTTGCCATACCACATTAACACAACAAGATGGATACCGGATTCATAAAAGTAGTCAATTCAGAGATGGTAATATATAAAAGAAAGATTGCAATAAGGATATAGTACAGGAAGAAAGAATTAGTTCGTGGAAAGAAAGATATGAAGTGATTTTAATCTCTTAGTTTAAGGGAAGATAGAGAGTGTATACACCGACGCTATTCTCGTCGATTCTGAGCCATGTCACCAAGAGTCTCCAACCATCGGTTACGAAAGTCACGCGGACCCCAACCAAGTAGTCTGCATCTACCAACATGGCTCAGACTAGAAGATAGTGACTTCAAGTACTGATGCCACGTTTTGGTTTGGATGCCCCTAACTTTCTTCCAACCATCTTCAACACCGGTTAGCATTGCACGTCGTGGTAATCGGTATTCAGGCATACGTAACACGTGGCCCAACCATGAAGATTCACAACCTCATCAACTGATTTACCATCATTACCTAATACCCTGCGTCTAACCTCACTATTACTTACCCGGTTATCCCAGCAGACGCCAGCAATATTTCCAAGGCATCTGTGATCAAATACTAGTAGCTTACGAGTGTCTTCTACTCTTAATGGCCATGTTTCGCTGCCGTAAATTAAAACGGAACGGACTGCCGCGCAGTATACTTGTCCTTTTATCTCGCCTTCGCCATAGGTGATGTAAGTTGGCAAAAGCCAAACGAGCTTTTCGAATCCGTGCTGAGATTTCGTCAAACACCAACCCATTAGGGCTGATCAGACTTCCAAGATAAGTGAAGTTGTCAACGCGTTAGACTACTTCACTCCCTATCCTTAGTTCAGGTGTTGACGCAGACCAGTCCTGAAGCAACAACTTGCATTTAGAGAGAGAAGCTCATTCCAAACATTTTGGCATTGTTGCTTAGTGCTACCAAAAGACTCTGCATTCTATCAGCGTCTTCACCAAACAGGACTATATCATCTACGTATTCTAAGTCGATAAGTGTACCTTCTGGAAGGAGATCAATACCCGAGAATTCAGTCGACGAGAATGTTATTTCCATCAGTAGGTCTATGATGAAGTTGAACAAAAATGGAGAAAGTGGACAGCCTTGACGGACACCACTTGAAGTTGCAAAAGCAGATGACATTTCGCCATAAGCTCTGACTCGACTGGTAGTGTTCGAGTAAAGAGCCTTCACAAGGCTTATGTACTTCTGGGGTAAGCCTTTCAATGACAGACACTGCCACAGAATCTCGCGGTCTACCGAGTCAAATGCTGCTTTTAAGTCAAGAAAGACCACCATTGTCGGACGTCGGTAAGTGTGCCTATATTCTAGAACCTGACGAATGGTGAATATGTGGTCGATGCAGCCACGACCAGGTCTGAAGCCAGCTTGATTCTCTCGTGTTTTCAGTTCACGAGTCTTAGTTAAGCGACTGATAATTATCGAGGCTAATATTTTAGATACTATATTAGTTAAAGTAATCCCTCTATGGTTGTCACAGGATGATTTTAACCCTCTCTTATATATTGGGACGATAAGTGATTGTGACCAGTCAGATGGGACTACTTTCAGCTCCCAGATCTTAGCTGAAATATTAGTCAACCTAATCGCTAAACTTGGACCACCATCCTTAAAGATCTCTGGAGGCAATGCATCTGGACCAGCTGCCCTTCCTCGTTTCAGATTAACTATAGCTTTTTGAACTTCTGCTAGAGTTGGGGGACCTACTTCAATGTTCCATTCACATTATCAGGGAATGGAGGGTAGTTGTAGAGTAGCTGAAGGCCAGATGAACTGTTCTCTGAAATGTTCCGGCCATCGTTCTAAACGTCTGGACTGAGAGCAGATGAGGGTGTCGTCTTTTTCCTAAATAGTCTGACTTACACTTGACTTATTAGTTCCAGTTTCTTTTATTAGTCTGTAGAGCTATCTTGTGTTCCCTATAGCCGCCGCCTTTTCCATCTCTTTTGCTTTCGTTGCCCACCATTGCTCACGGTCGTTTCTTAGACTTTTTCTTAACCTAGATCTGATTTGTTGTCGCTCTTCATCATGTTCGGAACCTGATGAAACAAGTTTGGGAGAATCCATCAGTGTGATAGACCTTGAAGAAATCCACTGGTTCTTTGTAACTCTGTGGTTTAAGTCTCTAATAGATGTCACTGCTGTTTCCGCAGCTGATTGTATGTCTTTCCAAGCAACATCTGGGTCAGCCTCGTGTTCAGAACTACCTAAATGTGACCTCAGTTGTTCCTGGAACCTACTTTTGGTAAATTTCAACTTTCATAATAGGGTTATAGAGATTGTTGTTTATTATTGGAATCATAAAAAGATCAATATTAGATCAACCAGTGAAATCCTGGAAGCACCGAATGGTCGTTTTGTCCTAATATGTGAATCCTTACCAGTGGACATTCATGATCCCACAAGAATGAGTCGAACCCATCACCTTATCTCGCGGACACGAACTTTTAACCTGTAGATCATTGAGCTGGCGTCCAGTGGTATTAATGTCTAAGTTCAATCAATCCACAATATTACGTGACCATCTTCTATTGTCATCCTGATTTCGAATTCTCCATTTACAATCTTCCACATTATCTTTTCGAATCATATTCCAAATGTTTGGTCTTTTTTTTATCATTTTTACCCTCTTATTTCAGTCCTTTTTTTGCTATTCAGTTTTCCAATTCCATTCAGTTGTGTAAATATGATATAATGACTTAGCCCAACACACATGTCAGACTCTACAATGATGGTGACTGACTAACTGATGTAAGCTTTCGAGAAATAAGGTTCTGTTTAGAAAGAATTTTAAAAAAATTTATTGCTGAATTTTTCATATCACCCAATTGTTAAAGTTTCATTCTTAATCATACTTTTTAAACCATTTTGTTCTTCAGGGAAGTTGAGTTATTGTTGACAACAGAATCTAGGACACGCATTTTGTTCTATTTGTGACTTGTAGGCTAAATGTACTCAGTGTTAATGTTCATCTTGACTCGAATACAACACCTTTTGCTTCAGACTACCAAAGTGTTGTTCACTGAACTACTAAATTCAGATAACCATTGGTTTGAGGAACTGGCATGATGTCTAAATTCATTTCAGTAGTGATTTAAACTATCCTATTGTTGATGTTCCAGCTGACGAAGCCTGAATAGGAAGAAAAGTCAGTCCTGATTTCCAATGCTACTCATAACCAATTCATTTAATAAAAATTTACTTAGTTTGAAGGTAGTTTTTATAAATTCATGAATTGATATCGGTCGGATTAACGTCTTTGTTCACAGTTATTCAATTTTACTCACTCGCGAGCTTACACAAGATTCAATCTAGAAATTTTTAATATTGTAGTGACCTCATCAGTTCTTAGTGAAAATTAATCGAATAACTGTTAGGCGTAATATTTATAACAATAATAATAGTGTGTTTTATGACTTACTTACTTACTTACTCCTGTTAATCCTCGTGAAGGAACATAGGCCGCTCACCAGCATTCGCCATCCAACTCTGTCCTGAGCAATCCTTTCCAGCTTCTTCCAGTTGTTATTCATCCTTTTCATATCTGCTTCTATTTCCCGATGTAATGTGTTCTTTGGCCTTCCTCTATTTCGCTTCCCTTCACTGTTCCAAGTTAGGGCTTGCCTCGTGATGCAGTTTGACGATTTGCGTAATGTATGTCCTATCCATTTCCATCGTCTTTTCCTAATTTCTTCTTCAGCTGGAAGTTGGTTTGTTCTCTCCCACAGAAGGCTATTGCTGATGGTATCCGGCCAATGGATGTTGAGTATCTTGCGTAGACAGCTATTTATAAATACTTGTACCTTCTTGATGGTGGTTGTTGTAGTTCTGCAAGTTTCAGCTCCATACAGTAGAACTGCCTTGACGTTGGTATTGAAGATTCTCACTTTGATATTGGTTGAAAGTTGTTTTGAGTTCCATATGTTCTTTAACTGTAGGAATGTTGTACTTGCTTTGCCAATCCTTGCCTTTACGTCTGCATCTGAACCTCCTTGTTCATCGATGATGCTTGTTAGGTATGTGAAGGACTCTACATTTTCCAGAGTTTCGCCATCAAGAGTGATTGGATTGTTGTTTTCCGCTTTGAATTTGAGGACTTTGGTTTTCCCTTTGTGTATGCTGAGGCCTACTGATGCAGAGACTGCTGCTACACTGGCTATCTTCATCTGCATCTGGTGTTTTATGACTACTTACTTCATTTTTTTCTTTCTATATTATAGATTCCTTTACTAAACCTGCTATTTCAATGGAAGTACAATGTATTTCAAAAAATGAAATTAAATCAAATGGTTGGTCTACTAAAACATGCCATTATCCTTATTTGAATTCTCATCCAATAAATTATGATTGTAATCTAGAACAAGAAACCTCACAATACAAACTGATGAATACAAATGATATTCATCAAAACAATAATGATATTTCAACAATGTTAATTAATCATTCCTATTTAAAAAGTAATTTATTACCAATAAATGATTCATGCACATCTAATGAAATATCGCCTACACGAAATACTAATAATAGTAATAATAATAATAAAAATGGTGATGATAATGATGATGATGGTGATGGTGATGATGGTGATGTTGATCAATACTTGCCGTCAATAATGAATAAACAAAAATCATTATTTGTCACTATTGGAGTACAAACTGATGATCAACTAATTACAAAATGTTGTAATAAAGAAATATTATCAAATGACAATTTGTCTAATATCTCTTATTTCTGTGACAAAAACGATACTAATACTACTCATGATAATAATAATAATAATAATAATAATAATATGGAAAGTTTAATTGATGCAATTAAATGTGTTTATGCTGAAATGAAAATCGAACAAGCTGAAATGATCATAAATAATTTAATTGAAAAATTTGCTGAACCATCCGATATGTATACGTCTATAGAGAATCTTCCCAAGGATAATTTATTATTTTGTAATATATATAATGATAATAATAATAATAATGATAATAATGATAATGATAATAATAAAAAGTCATTATTAAATGAAAAATCATTTAATCCTCCTCGTGCATCAGTATCATTTTTTTCACCTATTTTTAAATTACTTTTAACTCAATCAGAATCACAAATATTTCCTGATTTGTATAAATTAAGTCCTTCAGGACGTAAATTATATGATTTATGCCATCGACTTGCATTTGATATTAGACGTACTAAAAATAAGGTAAGTGTTTCTTTTCTTCGTGTATGTGCACATTTATAAAGTTCTATTATTTGTCTATCCATCTTATTACTTACTTACTTACGCCTGTTACTCCTCGTGAAGGAGTATAGGCCGCTCACTAGCATTGTCCATCCAACCCTGTTCTGGGCAATCCTTTCCAGCTCCTTCCAGTTCCCATTAATCTTTTTCATATCTGTTTCTATTATCCGACGCAATGTGTTCTTTGGCCTTCCTCTTTTCCACTTCCCTTCAGGATTCCAAGTTAGGGCTTGTCTCATGATATAGTTTGACGATTTGCGTAATGTATATTCTATCCATTTCCATCGTCTTTTCCTAATTTCTTCTTCAGCTGCAATAGATTTTATCTTGATATATATATATATTAATACATTTAAGTAATTGATATTTATTGTTGCCTTAAATAATTGATATAAAGAATAGTGAATAGATGGTTGAAAGAAGTCTTTTCATAATGAAAATTCAGTTATACTATATTGTATATTGATTAATCCATACTATTATCATTATTATTCGTTTAGTCTAGACAAAATTTTCCGCATTCTTCATTCTAGTTCATTCTAATATGAATTTTTCAATTTAACAAAAGAATGAAATAATTATTTTAATTTTAATAATTGAATTCATAAGTTAATTGAAGCTAGATAACTATGAAAAATCTGAAAGTACTAGATGGCCGTTTCCTTCGCGGGATGGGATTGTAGTGCATATTGCTGAGGATTCCAATACTAGGATGAAACGGCCGTCCAGTACTTCCTGTTTTTCCATGGTGGTCTAGTTTTAATTGACTCATAATCTCAACTATTAAAATTATTATAATATCTACAAAAACTTTTCTCTGTTTACAATTATTTTTATGCTATTCAAAATTGTAATAACAATGTAATCATGTATTGCATCAAATTCTATATTGTTTTATAGAATAGACAATAGTGATTCAATGATACGTCCAGACATTTTTAACATTTATAATGAAAATGATACTCACTATAGGGTTGTTAAAATTATTTATTTTGTTGATATCGTGAACCGATCTATGTTAGATAACCATTGAGTACCTAGAAGTACTGGACTCACATTCTGATAGCTGATTAGATTTGAAGTTAAAAAAATTATTAGATTAGCTTATGAAAAATTCAGTACTAGGGAAACTTATATTTATTCGTGAATTTCTATGCTATTGTTTCTTTTATCGTAAACCGCTATTGTTTTTTATTTGAGAATCAATTCACTGACAACTTCCTTATCTCTAAGTAAAAAGTACTATTGTTGTACGCATAATAAATTTAGCTAGTCGTGTGCTGTTACGGGTATGAGGGCTTATATCACATCCCGGCTGCCCACACCATGGAAGGGTATTTCTTGAGGAACCTGAAAAGGAAATTGGATTAGTGTTGGTCTTGACGACCTGGGAGCGTGACCGCAGAGCCCAAGGGACAACTACTTGAGGCCGGTCGCGCACGGCCATTTTGTGGAAGGTTTTTGACGTGTTAGCTCCGCTCTTCAAAAGGCCTTACCGTCGGAGACGGAAATCCGTGAGGTAAGGTGAGGTGTGACATTTTTAGGGTCGACCTTTGCTAACCCCACCCCTCCTTGTGGGAAGGCAGCATCGCTGTCATGCTGGTTGTCTGAGGGAAACACCTTACTGCTGTCACACCTCTCTACAGTCAGCAGTACGACTTTGCCCTCAGACCTTGAGTTGCTGCTTTTAGTCTTACCGTTCACCAATCGACCTGCCTGGCATGGTAGAACGTACAGGAACATATGTTCCAGCCAATATAGCTCGGTTGGGTCATCACGATAGGCAAGCCCGACCACCGCATCAAGGTAGCAGCTTCGGTCGGGAAATTTAGCTAGATAGTGAAATAGGCATTTTGCTCATAGTGTGGTGTAGGCTACTTATGTCGGCACACATAAGTATTTTGTAACATCAATTAAAAATTGAATGCCTGTAAAAAGAAGTTTGAGAAGATTACACTGATGAAAAAAACCCAGAAAGGAAGACATAAAGGGATTGAGAAAAGGGAGAATTATCAAGGATGTAAAGGACAGTTGATGGAAGATTTGCAAATGAGGTATTCAATGTTTTGTTCCACATTTTACAAAAGAGCTCTGAACTTTTTTATTTAACAATAATTTGGTTTACCCCACCTGAGTTCTCGTTCACTATAATAGTCTGAAGTTTAACACTGCTGGGGTGAATTTTATTTCTATTTATGTCTATCAACCTCTTTTTAACGCGTTCTATTGATGCTCTTTTTACAACAACATATAGATTGTATTTTGATATACATTGGCAATAAATAAACATAAAATCAATTTAAACTTTAATTGTTATACTGGTAATCTGGGTGGTTGGAAACAAATTTATTTTCCTTAAAATAATTTGTTTTGTACACTTTCGAAGTCCTTTTTCAATCTTACGAACATGTCTGTGTAAATATATTAGTTGCTTGGAGGGAATGTTCAGGAAAACATGTATCTAGGTTTGCTACTAGTTACTACTTGTGCTTTACACGCACTATCAGTGTTGAGGAAATGGACACTTCTCATAGAATTGGATGAACAGGATCTAATCAACACTAGGACCTTGGCAAACATAAAATTAGTATATATATATATATATATATATATATATATATATATATATATATATAGTTTAATGTTTCTTTTGGCACACATTACCAAGGTCATTTTCGGTCAACCTTGAGAAAATTTATTTTCAAACCAAGTTTGTCTAAACTTAAAGTGTGTTACAGATAAATTAGGTTTATTATTATTTTAACACATTTGTAAGTTTATCATAAGTGGATGTACTTCAAACTGTTGACATTTAGAGACTATAAGATCAAAGATTGAAATTATTGATAAATATGTGAAACCTTTAACAATAGTTGATATTTTAAATTCACTTTCATAACATCAATTAAAGTTATTTAAAAAACTAATAGCAGTCCAAAAATGATTGACATTAGACACTAACACCACTGGATGCCAGCTCAATGGTTTACAGGTTAAGCGTTCGCGTCCGACAGAGAAGGTGATGGGTTCGATTCCTGCTTGTAGAATAATGGATGTAAGGATTTCCATATTAGGACAAAACGACCATTCAGTGCTTCCAGGTATTCAATGGTGGTCTAAATTAGATCAGCTGATGACGTCAATGAAATTCAACAATCTCTCATAGTGGAAGTAAAAGTTGTTGCGTTGTGGTCGCTTTGGTGATCATAATAGTAATAATAATCATAATGACATTAATGATAATGATTTGAAAATGTGTTGTATAAAATAAGAATGTTAAATGTAGTATTAAGGACAAGGAAATTACCTTTGAAGGAAGTCCAAATCATAATGAAGGGTGAGGGACACAACTGTAACTAAGAATATTTAAATTAGTAGTGAGATGACAAGTGTCCCTGTAATCATAAGAATACTAAAAGCCCAAATCAATGTTTCAATACAGGAATTAAGTCAAAATGTGGGAAAACAGACGTTAAGACAACAACAAACTACTTAACAAGAAATGTACAAATAATCAGATGGTAAAGAACGTATACGGAGGAGAGTAAAGAAAGAAAAGTAAACCAAGGATGTGAAAAATTAATAGGACCGTTTATGCAGACGTATCCAACCAAAAAATGTCACGAATTTCTTTTAAATACAAAGACCAGGGTTTTTTTAGAGACTAGGCTGAATCCTGTCGGGAAATGACAAAATTACACAATAAACCACTCTTTCCAAAATAATCAAGAGGGTATTACTCATTCGTTGGTTAAGGTGACATATCCGATTTGTCAATTTTTACTAGCGTAGCTGAATTTACACATAAACATCAAAGAAATAAAATGTCGTAACTTATTCTGTTTAATAATTCTAATTTTATATTCATATATTTTTTGTATACTTTCAATTTAGATCTACGTCTTGTTTGTAATTTTCTTCTTGTATAGCTACGTATATTGCAAAAAATGAGAACTAGACAATCAAATCAACATCATTTCAATGTACGTATTACTTCTACTAATCCGAATACAACAACACCAACAACAGATTCTACCAATATTAGCACATACAATACATCAAACAATATTTTATCTAATTTTCAAAAAATTTTAGACATTAATGAATCAGATTCATTGAATAATTCAGTAAAGATATCTCAAGATAATCGTCGTAATGCTTTTATTCATTATTTACACGATATAAGCAGAAATTATGAAATGCCCAAATCCACATTAACAACCACAACGATTTCTAATCATAATGATTCTGGTCAATTTCAACAACTTTGTAAAGATTCACAACTACTGACACATGGTTATCATTACTGTGAACATAATAATAATAATAATAATAATAATAATAATAATAATAATAATAATAATAATAATAATAATAATAATGAGAATCAATTAGAAAAGTATGGAAATTATTTAGAACAAATCATGACATCGAACAGTATAAATCCTACTACTACTAATAGTAATATTAATCATCGAAGTACAGCGCCAACGTATACAAATCCATTAAATTGTCCATTATCTTTATTATCTTTTGTAAGTAATTTAAATAAAGTTAGTAGTGTGGAAGAAATAACTGATAATGATGACAGTGAAGATAAAAAAGAGGGAAAAGAGGCAAAAGAGGTTAAAAGTGATCGACGCCAAAGACGATCACGGGGACAACGACAATGTCGACGGCAACAATCGAAACAACAGAATCAACAACACCACCATCAACATCAACAGCGGAGAAAGTTACAAGTAAACGAGAAATTTCGACAGAATAAACAAAAATTCCCATCTTTATCTGATAATAATAATAATAATGATAATAATAATAATAATAACGATAAAAGTAAAAAGGCAGATTGTGAGACTTTATCAATTCCATTCTCCTCCTTGGTATCATCACCGTCGCCTTTATCACCGTCGTTATCATCAGTATCACTATGTACAACCAATAATAATAATAATAATAATAATAATAATAATAGTTTGAACTTGAAACATGATCTAACAACAAATTCCACTGGGATCTGTAATCTCAATATGGTAAATGTGTCTACAATGTCTACGAATAATCTAACAACTAATAAATCAAATATTAATGAATTGCCATCTAAATCAGTAAGTTATTCTAAATATTTTTGATTATTTGATGTTAATTGTTTTTTTGAATAAACCCACTCCAGAAGTTCCAAACTAGTCGATTTTCTGATTGCAACTGAGTATATTTTAATGTTATTAACAACGAACATACAATTTGTTAATAGATTAATAATTTAATGAGTATATATGTTAGGTGTTTGGTGGAGGTAGTCAGGAGGAAACTATGGACCTAGGTGTTTTTCTAGTTGGCATATGTCAACAAGGCATACTTGCAACTTCAACTGAACTGATGCCCGCCATGAACTTTCATCAACTGAATACTAAATATATATTTACAACTAACTGGTCTTTGAGCACTGACTAATTCTATGTGTATTTAGACCTTAGTTCTGTATGACTCAATTTTGAATCCCACAATGATCATTATTTCCCGAAAAACTGAAGGTGCACCTTGTAGACAACTAGAAACTAACATGAAGCCCAACACCATAGGTTCCTACCGACTACATCCAACTATCTATTATCTAAACTTGGTTCTCCATATTTTGAGTCGCATAGACTAGTGGGCACTTTGCAACTTGATTGATAAAATTAGATAAGCACTTAAGGACTACAAAGGGATCATTTAGTTGTAAATATTTACGTATATATTTGCAGTCGTGCAGTTTTAATAAACAAACTCGTTGTGAAACTATTCCAGACAAACTATTGTTATGTTATTAATAATATAAGAGGTTATTGGAGATAAATTTTATTAAAATGCTTGAGTCAATTGAAAGACATTGAAAGTATTTGACGCATCATTGAACAGTACTGCTTTGATTTTAGTTCAGGAATTCTCAGGACCTCACTGTATGGTGTTAACTCAGAAATCTAAGTATCGTGTTTTCATTGAGAACAGATATGCGCCACATAAATCATTCGGTTTTTGTGAGGGCTGTGATACTTCCCGGGTGCCCAAACCTTTGACCTACAGGTTCAATCCACAAGGTAGGGGAGCAATGTTAGGAGATACAGTACTATTGTAGCCAGTGACCAACAATAGGTTCATACGCCATTTGTTCCCTCAGGATCCTGGAGCTCATGTACACCATTGGTTTGGAATCAAGGTATTTCAATTCCGCTAGATGAATCCTCCATTTCCACCAACCCAATTAAAGCGCAGGGCATTCACTTTTCGCCCTCTCAATTTGGTAAACAATACTTCTTCCACAAGAAGGCAGTGAGTAGGACTTCCCTGGCAGTGGTTGTATGAACGTGGCCACTTGAGAGCATTTGGGGACAATATGTAAGTGAGTAAATTTTCTCATTGTTTGTACTGCGATTGATCAATCTCTGTTGGCATATATGTATATTGAGTGAATTGCCTTGACATTGTTTCTTAATTGTCAGGTGTAAGTTTATTTGCATTGTGGCTAAAATGGTATCGGGGATGTGCAGATCGTCTTGTGTGAGACTCATAAACTGTATGTACTTAAATCCCAGTGTTGACATACACATTGATACTCGATGCATAAGGATGCGTTTTTTATAATGTTGTATTATTTGAGCTTCGTGGTTTAATTACGAAGCTTTCGTTGTTGTTCTAGGCAACCTAACTACCGCCCGGCTACATAAAATAGGGATCCATTTGAACTGTAAACCTTCGTCTTGATCAAAGTTATTTGTTTCTGTTGTAGTTAGGTTGTCATTGTGATTTAGTATTTTCAACTAATTTAGTGAATTATAGAGAGTTGATGATATGCTTAAAAGACAATTGATTTAGTACTTAACAAACAATTCAATTTATGATAATTTTAATTATCTGGTCAATATTAAGGATTGAATTTTGGATAGTTTTTGTTAGTGTATGTTGGTCCGTTTCGGGTTGTTTCGAAATGGTCATTTTTTGGACAGATGGAATGTAGCTAGCATTAGAATTCTCTACCCGCATTTCATTCTATTTTTAGTTTGTTAATTAAATGTTGCTGTATCTCTTTGTTGATGTTTGCATAAGAACTCGGACTCAGCACCTGAAACACCTAACAATTTATTTGCTAAACCACTAGCTTGTGCAACGAGTATGACTCTTAATTTAATTTGTAATAGTTTGAAAATTCAAACAAGTTGACTGAATTAATAGCTGCTCAGTGCTCTGAGCGACTGAAGCAAAAGATATTGGGTTCTAGTTCCAATATGAACACCAACACTAGGATAGTACATACAATTGACGTGTCATATAAATAATGAAACGTGAAATCTGGATTCCACTGTTAGGCATATACGTTTTATGTTGAAAAAATTATGGGGTTTTAATAGTATAGTTGAATTTAAGTGATTTATTTATATTTATAGATATGTTAAGGTTATTTATACTTATAAGTTTATGAATCTAAAAATAGTTTTAAGTTTATTACAGAGATAAGTAACCCATAACGGTTCATATATTTAGTTATTGTTAGTTGGTGATCAATGTTTATTCTAGAATATCGTTCACTATCAGTAAACAAATATATTACAACTCAATTGTGTGGGGCGGTTACCCATCAACAGCACTGGAAAATGGTTGTACAATATTGCGGAGTACACTCACTCTCTCCAAGTACTCTCATATGGCCACCTGTGTACAGCCACTACCAGATAAGTCTTACTGTCTCCTCTAGACGTCGGTGTTGTCTACGAAATTGTGAGGAAGAAAAGCGAATGTTCAACACTTTAAACAGGTTGGTAGAAATGGAGGATTCATCTAGAAGAGTTAGAAAACCCTAATTCCAAATCATTGGTGTACATGGGGTCCACGAACGTAAAGGAACAAAAGGCGTATGAACCTATTGTTGGTCGCTGGCTACCATAGTACTGTATCTCCTAACATTGCTCCCCTACCTTGTGGATTAGACCTGTAGATCAAAGGCTTGGGGAGTAGCTCCCCAAGGGAACCACATAGATATGTGCCACATAAATCATTCGATCTGTGTGAGGGCTGGGATACTGCCCGGCTGCCCAAACCGAAGCAAGCGGTTTTCTTAGGGGGCCACACCTGGAACCTTCGGCCTAAAGGTCTAATTGACAAGGCAGTGAAGCAACGTCAGGAGGTGCTGTCCCATGGTAACCGGTGACCAACGGTTGGTTCATACGCCACTTGTTCCTTCAGGATAATGGAGCCCATGTACATCATTGTTTTGGAATCAGGGTAGTCCAAATTTCCTAGGTGGACTCTCTGTGTCCACCATCCCAGTTAAAGCTCCAGATATTCGCTTTTCGCCCTCTCAATTTCGTAAAGAATACTTCTGCTTCGAGAAGGAAGTGAGTAAGACTTCCCTGGCAGTGATTGTATCCACTTGGTCATGTGAGAGCATTTTTCGAGGGAGAGCTGACTCTCCCTACTCTCGGCCGTACCAAAGAATTTGGGTAAGAATCATCCTTAACCTATTCTCAAACTTGTATAGGTACACCTTTAGCTTACTGACTATATCATTTCACTCCATTGGTCAACTTTAAATTCGAATTTATTAGTTTAATATAAGTTTAATATAGTTGACAAAATCTCTTTTTAACTTTAACCGATCCATATTTATCAATAGATCAGCTTTATTGTGATTTTTTTTTCTACAATCTGAAATGAAAACAAATAGTGATTATAATGGACAATGTCTAAGATATTTACGTTTTCATCATACCATATGACGATATTTTATGTGTTCATTTAACCTGTAAAACAAAACAAAACAACAACAAAAATCGATCAATATAAATTCAGTCCATTGTTAGCTTATTAGAGTACACAAATGATTTTTTTAAAATTATAAACTTAATATTGAGAGTATACTTTCATCTGTAATGCTGTTGGTGTAATAATGATTAGGTTATATTAAGAGTTTTGTGCAATATAGGTAATATATATCTTTCATACACATAGTTCCCTTTATCATGTTGATAAGAGCAAGAACAAACATTCTAGTAGAATAGCAGGAATTCATTTTTATTTCGTTGGTTCTCGTCAGCTGCTTACAACCTGTGATATTTAAAATCATAATTACATAATGGGTTTAAATGACTTACATGAAAGAGTTTGATTGGAAGTTATATTGAAGACATATTCGTATAGTATAGCAAGAGTGTAAATAAATTGAATAGACTGAATATTATAAATATATACCTTATGTAAAAGAACATTGTGACAACAGTTCAAAGGGCTAGAAACAAGTAAACATTGATATAGGAATAAAATGAGTAGAGTTCAGTTGATAAAATAAGATTAATAATTTGGAAGATAGTTGGAATAAAACTCAATGATGTGATAAGTGCAAGAAAGAGTTTAAAGCAAACGAACAAATATATATTAAGATACAGCGATGGAATATTAGTCACCAAGGCAAGAAAGGATTAATAACCATCTCCTTCTGAACACCTAAATCAGGTTTTTGGCGCTTCAGCAAACTTCAGAAGACTGGAGTTTGGCCGCTTACTAATCACCTTGAATGATTGTAGGGTATCGACCTGATGTCCTGTATCAAGGAGATGTTTGGTGATTGCACTATTTAGAGTCTTTATTTCTCTTGTTCTGAGGCTTTTTGGAACATGTTCAAAAAATATTAGATATATATATCCCAATGAGTAGAAAAAATTGTATTCTGGATGATTTTTCGTGACTTAATGTAAACCACTGCTTCAGAGTGTACTGTTTCCTTTTTTTATTATTTAAACTTGTGTTAACTTAATTCAGTTGTCTATTTACTCTGAAGAAATGGCTTACATTAAGTTATGAAACGTCAGAAATCCGATTTTTCTACTCATTGAGATATAACAAAAGAAATATATTGATTAATAACTTTCTCAAATAATTTGAAACTATCAAGTTCAACCTTGGCATTGGTACCTCCAAAAGTTACATCTGTGTTATTTGAAATAAAATATTGATATAATCGTTGGTCGTGCATGCACACTATCACATTTTATCAAATAAATCATCCGTTGATTTATTATTCTTACTAAACAACCTACGCTTGATATCAGCGTTGTTTACCTAGTAAATACCTCAC